ATTCCTGCTCGCCTCTCATGTCGATATTTCCTTGGGTAATATCTATATAAATAATATCTTAATCAGCTCTTAAGATGTATTAACTATATTGAAAGATGTGGTAGTGGATTGCTGTCGTTGTTTGAAATTCAAAATCTGTTGAATTTCTGTTAATCTCCTAACAAACTTTTTCAGACGCTCCGCAAAAGAATATCTGAAAGTGGGCCGTGCCGATCAAGGAAGCAGATTTCCCTTTATATAAGCAACTTCATGTTGATGTATTTTTGTTCTATATCTAACTTGGATAAAGAACTACTATGGGACAAACGTCTGATTTATGAGATACCATTTCCCTGTACAGTTCTGTTCCTCTTAAAATACCAAGATTTCACGTCGCTAACCCCCCACTCTTGTCTTTTTCCCACAAAATTTTTAGCCCAAATAAAAATAAAAAATGATCCTCCTTTCATCAAACAATACCAGCATCAGTGGTCCAACGGTAGGATAATTGCCTTCCAAGCAATTGGTTCGGGTTCGACTCCCGGCTGATGCATTCAATTAGTTTTTTTGCTCTCCTAATTTCTCTCGGCTTCAATCACTAAGCCATATTGTGCAGGGTTTCTTTCAATTTACGTTTTGCGAGGTGAAGTAAAATGTTTTACTGCCTTTTACCCCCGCTTTTCGTGCCACGTGATAATAGAATTCACACAGGAAGGAAAAAAAAAGACAAAAAGAAAAGAGAAGGCAGGTCGTACCCGGGATCGAACCGGGGTCGTTGGAAAGCTTCTGAGACGACGGAATCAGAATCCAATGTGCTACCGCTACACCATACAACCGTATTATTGATTTAATGGAATAAAAATTTTATTTTACAATTTATATGTGTTATTATTAAAAAAATAGAGACCCACATGGACTAGGGTCAGGGTATACGGGTTTTCAACGGACCTGAGAGTGGTGGACACTGAAGAAGTACTCTCACAGCTTGTACTGTATGAGAGACTACATTGATCCTATGCTGCATAAGTTCTTTCTTTGCGGCGAGGGTACGAGTATTTGTCGCTGGAAGCTATATACACTTTGCCTAGGCACGTACCACCTTCATTCGTAAATCAGACATGCTTCAACTCAAACCGACCCTATATGCACTCCTATAAGAACTAACCTCTTATCGAACGGAATTCAAGCTCCATACTTTCGTTTTTATGAAATCGAATATACACTACGTAGCTCGCACCCTCTGGCCTAAGAGTTGAAGCCACTCTACAATCTTACCTCTCAAGTCTAATTCGGCTATGAATATTCTTTATTTACCGTAGAAAAAGGAACATATTTTAGAAAAGTAGAAGTATTGTCCGAAAAAGGAGACCTACATTTTAGTTACCCCTAAATATCCTTACATCTCCTCTTCTGTCATATCCCAAAGATTAGACTTCGATTTGCTTCAGAAGGACATACAGAACTAACTGTAACAATATCTGGTAGATATCTCTGTCGTAGGTCCTTATGGAGAGGGAGGCGAGGAGGGTAACGGAGATCTTTCACTACGAGGATCGGCGCACTTAATAATAAGTTCTTTTTACAATTCTAAGCTAGAGGGGTTGCCGAAGGTCCTGAAGAACCGATCTACTAAGGTGGGCTGCCTCAAGATAAGATCAAGCTGTCACATGACGGAATTCTTCCCTAAGAAACAAAGCCACCCCTTATTTCCATCTGTTAAGAGAGTTATTATTATTAATTCTAGTTTTATGTCCGATATGGTGTCAAGAAGGCCCACGCAGACTCCACTACCTATTTCGGAAAACCCTTTGTAGGGGAAAAACCATGTTTACTTCTTGGTGCCCTGCCTAGACAGGCCATTCTCCTTCTCAGTTTTGACACATCTGTTACTACCGCAGTTAGCAGAATCTGCTTGTGCATACCAAGTCCCATCTATTCCAAGGCCGTGAGCGGTTCCAATCCGTCGTCTGGCTGTTCTAGGATCCTTTTGGCTAGGTTGAATTGGTCCAGGATTCCTTGCTATATCAGCCAGACCCTGACCGCTCGTACTCCTTCCGGTGTCGATAGAAGGATTTGGTAATCCTCTGTCCCAGCCTTTCCCCACATCTGCTTCCTTCCTGTACGTCTTGGGCACATTGTGACTACATGTTTCGGCGTCTGGCGTGGCCAACCGCAATCGCACTGTTAAGAGAGTTAGAGTACGATATATCGACAATTATTAGATTAAAAATTTGTCGAACTTTTGTCAATCTCTTATCAAATTGGACTCAAACTTCCTCAAGACCCTAGGGGAGGATTGCCTGCACGAGCCCTATAGTCCCAAAAGGGTTTCAAAACACCACCAAAAATATCCCATTTATCAGCAATTCCTAAATTCACCTGTAATTCTCTCCAAGGGTCTGATTTATGAGACAAGGAAAGAGAGGGAGAAGAAGATTAGTAATCCCCAGGTTGGAAGTGAGGGGTTCACGTGGCTTGTGGGATTTGTGTCGCGAATACTACCAGGAACGTCATGCGTGCAGCGTGTTTTGTACATATATTATATATAGCCGGTTCTCTATGCGACATATCCCGTAAGTTCTGCAACTCAAATATGACATCGGGTTTAGAGAGCGGCCTCCATGGCCTAACAATATATTTATCCGTCTAAATTTTTGTTTCATCCGTTGTCGGATTAATGGTGATGTCCATGTTACTGTCACCAGCGGAAAGACTTTGGCAATACTCTTCCGATCTATACCGTCCCACCGTGTGCTTCGATTTAAATGAAAGGTAACATAGAGCAACTTAGAGTTAGTATATACTCTAATTTAAAACTACCCGCTAGACTCGGGCACGCGTTAACAATATTCTAAGCGCCCCCCAATTGCTGCACCATTTGATGGCCCCTATAGCTATCATTGATCCCGAAGGGCATAATCTGAGATTGATGGGAATATATTGATCTAATGGTATACTACATAAAAACAGACCCTACTTCTCGAACTCCCAAAACTTCGAGGGATATCATAACCAAACCTCTAATCCAACTCTTTCGACAATAACAAAACCAGTTATGAATTCTAACCCATATGTTCCAAGACGGGTGCAACCTTCACATTCTCCAAAAATTTCCTTTCCAAACTACCTCCCAAAATACCTTTTCTCCCAATACCTTGAAATGGCATAGGCCGTAAACGCAAACGCGAAACCCAACTCAAAACCAATATCACCGCCAGACGGCGCCTTGCCCGCATGCAGCGCAATCGGACCCACAAACCACCGCTGTGACATTCCAGTCACCATGCCCACGACACCACAGCAGAAAGCGAAGACAGCGGCGATACCCGGAGGGAGTCGTTTCGGCTGATCATATTGGGAAACTTCATAAGCCTTAAACGAGCGGCGGTAGATGAAGTGTTCGGAGAGAGATATGCCTTCGTAGATGGCAAGCCAGTAGCCTATATGTAAAATCAACTTCCGTTATCAAGCTCAGCTAGAAGTGCGGTAGACTTACCAATGAAATTCATGAAGTTCTCCAACACGGCTTCGAAACTGCTGTACCCTGGAATTGCAATCCCGATATACACACCAGTTCCGATTGCGGTCCATACAAAACGTGGCACTTTCTGTGTCCAGCGACCCAAGACTTGCATCGTAAGCGCTACGCTGTAGATATTTGGGCAGTTGTTCGCAATGATACTAAGCGCCATGACAACAAGACAGAATCTTCCGAAATTGCCTAGAGGAGGGAAAAGGACTGCTCCGAGCAGACCTCCGGTACCAGAGGCAATGTAACCATCCATGTACTTGTTGTTGCCGTCATTGATGGTCGTTGCGGTCATGATGGCGACGCCCAGCATTTCCGTGAGAAAAAGGGGGATGATGAGGCCGATCCATACGGAGAAAAAAACTTTTTTCCTGCTTTGGGTAGGTGGCTGATACACGGTGTAATCGGCCGCATAACTGGTCCAGCCGGTTGCAAAGCCGTAAACAACACTGCCGAAGCTGAGCACAGAGCCAACTTCGCTCTTACCCACGCCCATTGGAATGTTGATGAAATCTCCGCTATGCGCAAATACGCCCAGAATAATGAGAAAGACGATGAAAGTCGGGATCCAGGACCAGAACTCGTAGGCGTGCACGATCTTGTAGCCGAAAAGGCAAACAAGGAATGTGCAGATGGCGATGATAATGATACCTGCGTAGCCAGGTACGTCGCCGTTCACAGCATTGATGAGCTGAGCACCGACGATGCAGTTTACACTGGACCAGCCAATGCATGCGAGGATATTAAAGCAAGCGACTACGAAGAAAACCGGTTAGTCGCTTTTCGAGCAGACGTGCAGTTGAAAGAAGGAGAGACTGACTGAGTTTCACACCGTACCAGCCGAACCAGAATCTTGAAAAGACCATTTGGCGCAGACCGAAGCGCGGACCAAAGGTAGAGAAGAAGCATACAGGCATTATGCCGATGAGATTAAAGAAAATAACGGTTAGGATGGCGTCGACGAAGCCGAGTTTGAAAACTTGTTGACCAAGGAGGCCAATGGCGAAAGAAGAAACGACCATGTTGGCGGAGAGCCACTGGGGAACTGATTAGAGAAGCTTCTATGAAGTCTGCTGCGCATGGCGATCTCCTGTCGAGTAAAGATAGAGGAAGATGTGATCGTGTCTTACCATAGTGCCCACGTTCAACAGTGAAGTGTCATTTCTCTCATCTTCTGGCACTCTCTCAATTCCTCTCTGCTCCACGCCATACTTTGCGGCAAGCCTTTGAAGGTTTCCAAGCCATCCGTCGCCGTAGACGAAGGTCTCACCAGGTACTGCTGCTCCATTGCTAGCCAGAGAAGGGGATTCAGGCCGCACTGCGCCTTTTTCGACATCGCTGTCGAACTTGAAGGACATTTCGAAGAGGCTAGGTTGGAGCTGCTGATGAGTTTAATCTCCTGAACCGGTGATGTCAGTGGGAGCTATCATGAGCCTCCCAGCGTTGAGTTAGACTGTCACTCTCGTAGAGTGGCAGGTGTTCGAGTCAATTCCTCAAGAGCAGAATCTGTTTCTGTGCGCGTCCCACTTGTGACGTCCGCGTCCCAATAATATATAGCCGTACTTTCCAGCCTTCACCCGCTCCCAAGAAGGCGCCACCAAGGGCCAGGCCGGTTATCACGATAAGCCTAACCGATTCGAGTAGTCCATGTGGGTTTTATTCTGGGAAGAATGGCGATGGCAGATTCGGTGTTCGCCTTGTGCCTTTCGGTGAAACTCTGAATGTGGAAAAAGAGCATCCAACACATCTGCATCTTACCTGGGGCCTAATTGCCTATCGCACCAAAGATCGCTATGTTGCGTCTGCTAAGGATATCAATCTCCCATTATATCTCCGCAAATACTCCGTGTTCCCTGCGTCGCGTAGGATGACGCCGGCGCTGAAGATCTTTGCTAGTTCGTTGTTAGTGTGACTAAGAGCGCCGACCAGTGCCCGCCCGTCTACGAAGGCGCTGCGCTGTCGCACGATAAGGGTCGCAACTCCAGCCAATCATTTGCGTGAAAGTCATGTTGACGTCTGCGAATTTGTCCAACTGTGGCTCGGTTTTGCGCCACATTCTATTCTACGATAGAAAGCTTGAGCGTGATGAGGAATCCTTTGCGCCGCTTCTGTTCCCAGTTCCTGGATGGTGGAAGATAGCCTCAAGGCTTATTGGTGACTCTGGGTCATACTCGGTATGAGGGTTAGAGAAGTGGTAGCTTTGTCTAAGGTTGAATTGGAAAGCGTTCGGCTAGTTGCGGCATACGGAATCTTTCAGTCCTCAATTGCCGCTCTGAGTGGGATCTCCGGCCAGGTAATCGTCCATTT